TCTTTATTCATGTTTGAGTAGGTGTTCTGCCCAGCATTATGTCTTTTTGTTCCCAGTAACACACACACACACACACACACAACACACACATTTTCTAATATTCATAACTTTCTCCAATGTATCTTATACTATATATGTTATGGAGCCCCCGGTGGCACAGTGGGTTAAACCTCTGAGTTGCTGAACTTGCTGCCTGAAAGGTTGGCAGTTTGAATCCGAGGAGCAGGGTTAGGCCCATTTTCCGCCAACCTAGCAGTTTGAAAACATGTAAATGTGAGATCAGTAGGTACTGCTCTGGCGGGAAGGTAAGGGTGCTTCATGCAGTCATGCCAACCACATGACCTTGGAGGTGTCTATGGACAGCACCAGCTCTTCAGCTTAGAAATGGAGATGAGCACCAACCCCCAGAGTTGGACATGACAAGACTTAATGTCAAGGGGAAACCTTTACCTTTATTATACAGTGTATGTTATACAGGTTGAGCATCCCTTATCCAGATGTCCAAAATACAGAATCTTCCACATGGCTGATTGATGTTGACACATTTATTTTTTTCATGGTTCCATGTACACAAACCTTTATTATTAAAAATATTATATAAAATCACTTTCAGGCTATTTGTGTAAACTGTATATGAAAAATAAATGAATTCCATATTGGAGCCTATCTACCTGGACCTCACTATATTCATACATGTAAATACAGGTATTACAAAATCCAAATAAATAATTAAATCTGAAATCGAAAACACTTCTGGTTCCAAGTACAGCAATACTCTGTTCTTAGTTATATTCTGTATATACTCTATCAGTGTATTTCTAGCTTTCAGAGCTGGCAACCAAAAAAAGCCCAGTCTTTAACTCTCTGCTCTTTTCAGAATAATGAAAATAAATGTTTACAGAATAACAAAAATAAACATTTCGAACTGGTGGGTAAATGAAGTCAATGATTCCATACAAAGGAGGTGCATGCAGACCTCATGTATTAGCAATAATTGTCATCTAAAAGACACCAGAAGAGAGCCGTTGATCCATGTGCCAGTCTCCTTCTGTAAAAGCGGTTAGACTGTGTTTCCCCATTGACAGCTAGAAAATTCAGAGGTCTCAATAGTCCCTCCAACCCCATCTGTCTCTTGTGTGCTGCCATTTCCCACAGGGATAGTCCATATTTGAACAATATGATCACTTAGGATTCCTGTTAATATTCACAGTGAGTGTGTTTGTTTACTCATAAAGCTGCACTTTGCAACCCCCCACAACTGAGTTGCAAGTGTTTAAATCAGCCTTGCAGAAGATGTGGGATAGTTTTGACTTATGACGTGAAAGGGTGAAATAACAGAAATATCCAGGGGTCCTTGAGATTTATGAGAAGTGGTATTTAGTTAGGCCAGAAAAAAGAAAGGCTATTAATTAAGACAGGAAGTCATTTGAGACATAAATCACAGCATTAATGTGCTAGTACAGCCCCTGCCAAAATCTCTGTGGCTTTGATGGGCAGACATGCTCTCTCTGATGTGGCCTAGCTGAGGGTCAAGTATTATTCCACAGCAGTTCATGGCAGAGGAGCCAAGATTGATTCTGAGCCAAATGGACCGATAGCTGAGCTGCCCTGTGAGTTCTCCAATCTTAGTGAACAATTAGCCAAAGAAATTTACAGGCCTGCAGCTGGAAGGATGAGAGCTGCCTGAACAAGCAGTTCCAATCAGGATGCAAATAAAGGTTTTATTGTATTGTCCCACCCAAAGGTTTTATTCTTCTGGATCTCTTATCATATTTGCGTTATTTCAGTGACTGTTCGTCATAGTGGCCAAACACAAGTTACTAGAGACAGTTTTGTGCCTTCAGGCCCTTTCTATGAACAATCACAAGTGTTTCTGGTTGGCTCACATGAGTGTGTGTGTGTGTGTGTGTTTGTTTTTGTGAAATTGTAACTCTCAAAAACCACAGCCCATGGCAATTCTTGAAAGTGTCATACAACAAAGTAACTTTTTCTAACTCCTGGCTATGCGGAGTATGATCCTGGTCATGACTGGCATTTTAACTGTAAGCTCTTTGCACTCAAAGCCAAAACTAACACTATAAGGCAATGTATACCAAAGAAAGGCCTGATGGAGGCTAACCTCTTTTCGCATCCTTTAGCACTACTGCCATTTGCTCCATTCTCATTTTCATTGTTAGGGAGAGCAGATGAACCCTTTCTTTTGACTTACTGGCTTTTTTAAAAGCACAGTACTAGTGTTGCTTAGGTAAAGATTCCCCTGACATTAAGTCTAGTTGTGTCTGACTCTGGGGTTTGGTGCTCATCTCCATTTCTAAGCCAAAAAGCAAGCATTGTCCATAGACACCTCCAAGGTCATGTGGTGGGCATGACTGCTTGGAGCGCCATTACCTTCCCACTAGGAGCGCCCAGTGGCGCAGTGGGTTAAACCCCTGCGCCGGCAGGACTGAAGACCGACAGGTCACAGATTCAAATCCGGGGAGAGGCAGATGAGCTCCAGCTCCTCATGCGGGGACATGAGAGAAGCCTCCCACAAGGATGATAAAAACATCAATTCATCCAGGCATCCCCTGGGCAACGTCCTTGCAGACGGCCAATTCTCTCACACTTGCAGTTTCTCAAGTCGCTCCTGACACGACCAAAAAAAAAAAAACCTTCTCACTGGAGAGGTACCAATTGATCTACTCACATTTGTATGTTGTAGAACTGCTAAGTTGGCAGAAGCTAGCATTGGGAGCTCATCCTGCTCCCTAGATTTTAACCCCTAACCTTTCGATCAGAAAGTTCAGCACCTCAACGGTTTAACCCGCTGCGCCACTGGGTCTTGCTTACCATCTTGTTATTCCCATCTGTTTGCCACCATCAGCTAGAAAGCAGTTTATCATTCCATTTAGGACAGAACCGCAAATCGCAATCACATCAGCAAGCCCATTCCATAACCAGGAAATATGGATGCACATCCCACCACCTTCCAGCTTAGTTTCCACCCCCCACCCCCACCCCCACCCCCCGCCAACATGACATGTAATAAGCAGAACTATAACTGGGTTTAGGTAGGGGAAACATTACTCATCTGCTTTCTCTTGTGGCTTGCATTTATGTGATGAGCCAAACACCAGAACCCCTATGTGTGCCTTACTGTCTGTAGTTAAATCAGATCCCATGTGTGACATGGTGATTTCAAGTTTACCATATGAAAAGAATATGTGACATATATCCCCAAAATAGCTGGCTTTATTGATTTTCTTAGCCCAGTACTACCTCCTCTGGCTGACTGACACTTCCACCAGCAAAGGCCATTTATGGAACTTGTTCCTTTATCTTTTTACACTAGACATGCCAGGAATTGAACCTAGGATTTCCTGCTTCCTTTAGTACTGTTTTGAGAGGAAGATACATGGCACTGAAAACACCCCAGGAGCCCACCTTTTTCTCTTCAAACCGTTCATTATTTCTGCAAAGCTTACAGCTTTACTTTTTATCTCTTATCTCCAGATGAACCAAATGCTAAGTGCACAAACCAGACCTTTTTTATGCCTCTTGTTCCTTCTATGTTCCTTCCTCCCCCCTTTTTTTTTTTTTGGTGGCTCCTGGCTATTGGAACATAGATAGGAATGAATCCAGATCTGTTTAACTGGGTCCTTGTTCCCCCTCATTCTGCTGCACAAAAGTTTGGGATAACCAGCTGAAGGGAGTAGACGGTGGTTCAGTCTCTGCATGGAGTAATTTGAAACAATTTAAAATTTGGCATCTCAGTGCTTTGAGCCAGGAGGAAAGATCCCTGTGAATTGGGTAAAAACATATTCAGGTTCTGCCTTCAGAAGACAGAAAATGAATCCCGCCCATAGCTGCTTGAGTTGACCATGGCTTCTTGAGGCAATGGTTCTCAATGTGGGGTCTGGAGATTTGCAGTGTTGTCACAGGGGATCTTCAAAGGATTAAATTATTACATTAGTGTTGGTACTATTTTTGTTGGCATTATTATTTTAAATTTGTATGGAATCATAACCAAAATATTAAAAAGCAGGAGTGTGTGCATTAACAGATTAATTTATATTTTCTTTTCTCTAAATTTGAAGAAACATTCTTGAGAAAACTAAAATAATTATTTGATGTGCCTTAAATCTTGAGTTAAGTTTTGCGGGTCTATGGCCACAAAAGTATTTAAAAGTGGATCCATGAAGAATCATAGAATTATAGAGTTGGAAGAGACTTCATGGGCCATGCAGTTCTACCCCCTGCCAAGAATCAGAAAGATCACATCCAAAGCAATCCCGACAGATGGTCATCCAACCTCTGTTTAAAAGGCTCCAAAGAAGAAGCCTCCACCACACTCCGGGGCAGAGAGTACCACTGGAGACTCCTTCTTTGGTTGAGAAAGGGTTGAGAATCTCTGGAGTAGAGCATTTGCATTTTTGTTCCTTTTGGGAGTTGCTCTGAAACGGTGTTTTGGTCTCAAACTCCCAGGAATCCCAGGCAGCTTCCCAGCTGTTAGGATTTCTGGGAGTTGAAGGCCAAAAGATCTGAGGACCCAAAGGTTGAGAAGCACTGCTCTGAAGAAAAATGTGTGTTTTAATTTTACTGATTAAATAATATATTTACAGCTAAACAAATCTTCTTTGCATTCTATAGCCTAGCTACCAAAACAACCCAGTATTGGCTGAAAGAACCAGTATTTTCTTTGTTATTGTGTGCCTTCAAGTCATTTCCAACTTACGTTGACCCTAAGGCAAACCTGTCACAGGGTTTTCTTGGGAAAATGTGCTGAGAGCGGGTTTGGCTTTGCTTTCTCTGAGACTGAGAGAGTACGATTTGCCCAAGGCCATCCAACTGGACTCCATGGACAAGCAGGAAATTTGAACTTTCATCTCCCAATGTCCTAGTCTAGCGCTCAAACCAGTATACGAAGCTGACTCCCATTCCTTCCTATCCCTCACAGTAAAATGTACTTTTTACTTCCCATTTTATTTACAATCACAATATGCTTCTTTTTAAACCTGCAGAGGAGAATGATCAAGGTCAACCCCAGAGGAAACGTCTCCGAAGGAAGAAACGGAAGAATGTTTTGCAAAACCCTGATAACTTACAAGGAGGCTTGGCAGAATGTGGAAAGCCTGAAAATCTGATTGAAGATAACTTACAGCTGCAACACACGGAAGCCCTGAATCTAAGTAGAAACAAAAAGAGGAAAATGAAAAAGAAGCGGCAGAAAGAAAAGATGAGAGCAGCTGGCTTGTTAACAAAGCCAACTGGTATAGATTTCATGTACAAGCCCAAGATGGAAAGAGGAACAGACTTTGAAGATACAGATAAGAAAATAGACAGTATTCTAGATTTTTTGCAAGCAACGCAAGAAATCCATTTCTCTGACAGTAGGTACATCCCCTTTCCTACATTTCATTTGTAGCTTAAATTAGGAGAATTAAGTACTGCTTGGGTTGTTGTGAGTTTTCCGGGCTATATGGTCATATTCCAGAACCATTCTCTCCTGATGTTTCGCTTGCATCTATGTCAGGCATCCTCAGAGGTTGTGAGGTCTGTTAGAAACTAGGAAAATTGTTTTTATGTATCTGTGGAATAATGTACAGGGTGGGAGAAAGAACTCTTGTCTATTGGAGGTAGGTGCGAATGTTGCAAATGGCCACCTTGATTAGCATTTAATGGACCAGCGGTTTCAAGGTCTAGCTTCTTACTGCCTGGGGTAATCCTTTGTTGTTAGGTGATTAGCTGGCCCTGATTGTTTCATGTCTGGAATTCCCTTGTTTTTGAGTGTTGTTCTTTATTTACTGTTATGATTTTAGATGTTTTTTAATACTGGTAGCCAGATTTTGTTCATTTTCATGGTTTCTTCCTTTCAGTTGAAATTGTCCACATGCGTGTGGATTTCAGTGGCATCTCTGTGTAGTCTGACATGGTAGTTGTTAGAGTGATCCAGCATTTCTGTGTTCTCAACAAATATGCTGTGTCCAGGATGGTTCATCAAGTGCTCTGCTGTGGCTGACTTCTCTGGTTGAAGTATTTTGCAGTGCCTTTCATGTTTCTTGATTCGTGTTTGGGCGCTGCGTTTTTGTGGTCCCTGTTGAAACATTCACGCCTACCTCAAACAGACATGAGTTCTTTCTCCCACCCTGGACATTCCACAGATACATAAACCTTACTTACCTAGTTTTCAACAGACCTCACAACCTCTGAGGATGCCTGTCATAGATGCAGGTGAAACGTCATGAGAGAATGATTCTGGGACATGACCATACAGTCCAAAAAACGCACAACAACCCAGTGATTCTGGCCATGAGAGCCTTCGACAATACATAAGTACTGCTTATTTCTCCCCTGTAAAATGCAAAAGAAATATATATATATCCCTCCCCTCCCTCTCCTTCATCTTTGGGTCTCAGTTTGACCAAGCAAGAGTGAATACATGTCAGCCCCCAAGAGCCAAAAGTGCTACTCAACCATTAACTGGTAATAAGGTTTTCATGATAGAAAATGGGAAATGGTCTCTATGGTACCTCAGCTGTCAGTGTAGCAAACAGAGGTTGCAGTACATAGGATTGTATTAATATTTATTTGGTTGTCACTTGGAATTAAAAAAATTGATGGTGTTTGTTCCACAAGGAAAAATTCTTGATGTGAAGTACCTCACAACAATGACCTGGAAATATTTTTGTATAGGATCCTGAGGCGTTATATTTGGCTAATGTAGTGCCACTATAAACTATTTCCAGAGCATCATTGCACTCTGTCGCACACAGATGATTTTTCATATGAAGCAACCTCCATATATTTGGAATTTTTAGTGACGATCACAAAAATGGTTTGGAATAATCCTACAGTGGAAGGACCCTGCTCTTATAAACTCATGCATCCAGAATGGAAGCATAATCATTTGACACAACTATCATATGCAATAGTCATGAATTTGCAAGTTGCAAGCTACAGTAGAGTCTCGCTTATCCAACATAAATGGGCTGGCGGAACGTTGGATAAGCAAAAATGTTGGATAATAAGAAGAGATTAAGGAAAAGCCTATTAAATGTCAAATTACATTATGATTTTACAAATTAAGCACTAAAACATCATGTTCTGCAACAAATCTTCAGAAAAAGCAGATAAACACATAGTAACATTATGTAGCAATTACTATATTTACGAATTTAGCACCAAAACATTGCAATGTATTGAAATAACTGTGGATCCGGGCAGGAGGCAGACTGTGTTGGATAATACAGAATGTTGGATGAGCGAAGGTTGGATAAGCGAGACTTTACTGTAGTTGTATTATTACTACTACTTCTGCTACTTATTATTATTATTATTATTATTATTATTTGTATGCTGCTTTTTCTCTTAAAAGAGACTCTAGAACCAATGCAAAGCTACTTTTTAAACATAATCTGGCACTTGCAGACTTATTTGCTATTATTGACACAATTATACAATTCCTGTGGGCTGGTTATCTAATATATGTTTACTGCTTGGTGTGTGTGAATGAGATCAGATTCCATATAATTAGACAGTATGCATATCAGCATCTCACACTAGAGCCTATTTAAATCAGAAGTGGGAAACTGCGTCCTTCCAGATATTGCTGGACTGCAACTGTGAGCATCCCACAACATTGACTATACTATCTAGGACACAGGGGAATTGCAGTTCAACAACATTAGGAAGCCCACAGTAAGCTGTTCTTTCAATCGAATGAGTCGCTTTACACATTTGACTTCATCCACCAGGAGATGAATAATAACGTGTTTTGTGAAGGCCTTAAATCATGAGTGAGCAAAGGCTTTAAAATGCTGCTGGACTGTAATATCTATCAGGATTGCATAGCCTACTATTTTGATTTACATATCAAAACAGGAAAGGGATGTTGAGCAGAGGGGGTGATACACTTTACATAAGAATTTTTTCTAAACAAACTCCTTATTTTTCATTCCTTAGAACGATCGAAATGTGAAGAGTCAGCTGTGAGTCCACAGAGCATTCATGAAATTTTACACAGTCTCGAATCTCGCCATATGCCTTTGTCAGACGTTGACCTTTTGCATCAGATGAAAGCTCTTGTTCTGCTGCGAGATGTTGAGAGACTCAGAATTGCTGTGGAAGAGTTCCTCTCACAGTCAGTGATGCCTCCTGGTATGTTCTTCACCCAACTGTGCCATTACTATTCTTCTTGGACTTGGATTCAGATTTTCTTTTTCCTGTGCAAAAATGGCAAATGTATTCTTCTTTGACATTTTTTCTATATTCAATATTTGTGTAAATGCATATATTATAGGGCTTGATATAGAGGTGCTCTTTCATGAGCATAAGCTTTACATATATAATATTTTCCTGCTTAAGATCTTGATGTAACAAAATCCAGTAGCATGCATCAATTTGTACATGGGAGTGCGCATCTTCCATCACCAGCACAAGTTGATGCAAAATGCCACTGAATCCCTCTTGCACAATTCCAATCCTTTATTTTGCTCGCACTAATGTGGAAGAAAGTGAGGGACTATAGTTGGCACTATGCAAACTTACCAGAATGTGAGTATTGTTCCTCTTCTTAGATTATTGATTCCCAACCTTTTTTTGACCAGGGACCATTTGACCAGGGACCACTCACCATTAGTACCTAAAGGGTTCCAAATCAGTTTTTGGTCAACTTTAGATTCGGCTTGGTTATTTGGGGTGCTGATTCAGAAAATTGCATTGGATAGACCACATAAGCTCTAGTTTCTGATACAGAACGTATGCCATCGAGTAGTAGCCATCTGCTTACCCACAGAAAACCATATTTAATAATCTAAAGCTTATGTGGTAGTTATAATCTTTTGCAGGTAGTGAGCCCCTCCCTTCCTGACATCCCCGTTGCCTCTGCACTATAAGAGGGTTTCGCAAGGCCAGTCGCTCTCGTTGCCATTTGGTTTCGAGGCAACAGTGTAGTAGTAATGGTGAGGCCGTGGACCATATTTTCATTCTTGAAGACCACTGGTGGTCCACGGACCAGAGGTTGGGAACCACTGTCTTAGATCAATGATAGGGATATTAGCCACCCGAGCAAAAAGGACCTTGTAGCTGAGCAAAACCAGACAGGTCATGTTCTTGTGTGTGCAAAGATTTACTGTTAGTGCCAGAATCTTCATCCCAAGGATGTTTCAGGATGTTGCTCTCAGGTGTGCAAAGAAATAAGGAAAGAATACATGATTCCCACTGTCGACAGCTTGAGGGAGAGAGAGAGTTATGCATTGCTCCTGACAATCAAAAAGCCATCAGCAAACCACAGCTGAGAGGTTGAAAGCCATTTCTAATGTTTAGACATATGGAGATGTTCTCTTTATTGTTGTTCACCACAATGTCATTTCCGAGTTGTGGCGACCCTCAGATGGAAATACATTGAGTTTGTTTTTTATTCAGAGGATGTTTGGCATTGGCTTCATCTGAGCTTGGAAGGGGGTCATGCAGTGAGCTTCCATGGCTGTGTGGGAATTTGAACTTTGGCCCGCAGGTTCCTAACCCAGCTCTTGGGCCACTACACCACAATGGCTTTCTGATGCTCTCTCTACTATGATTGAGGTCCCATTGAAGTGACTTCATTTTTTAGAATATCCAAGATGGAAAAGAGTAGAGGAAGTGTCAGAGCTGTCTGTTCGAGTCCATAGAACACAGTCGAGTGCTGGGAGTGGAGGTTGCTCTCTCTATTTTTCAACTGGATACAATAAGTGAATGGGCTAAAATCTTACATAATGGAAATGTTTTGTTGTAAAATGATGTGCTTTTTAAAAGGGTAAATTACTTTGCCTTGCTTTTAACATTGAGGGTTTTGTTGTTGTGTAAAATCTGTGTTTTTGACTAGATGCCTCCATTCATATTCTAATGCCAGACTGTCTGGATCTTTGGGGCAAAGAGCTGAATGTAAAGAGATCCACTTGGCAGGTACTTCACATATTTCAGAACATCTCAAAAACAGGAAATGGAAAGGCACTGTAGAGAACAGCATTTCCCAGGTGGCTTTGACATGGGATAAGGAGAAGAATGGCAGAGCCACGCATACTGGGGGGAATGAAAAACTCTTAGAATTAGATATCAACTGTGTCAAAAGGTTATAAAGATGCCATTCCTCTTTCTAGGCTGGGTTTGGCCCTTGGGGTTTCCTGTTCCTTGCTAACATTTTATTTCTTGTTAGCAAGCATCACGTCAAAAATAGCTTCCTCCCTTGTTGCCTAGGAAATTATCACCCACTAAAAAGCTAAAAACGAATTATGAAAGGCTTTCTAAAAATCTGCAGAGCGGTCCTCCTAGTAATTCCTCCTCCATTTATTTGTGAATTTTGCAGACCAGTAGACATTATAGTTCCCTTTCACCCACCATGCACATCTTGGATTCTCCACATGCATTGCACTTAGTTTTTTTTTTAAGATGTATAAAAAAGAAATTAGCTTATTATTACAGGGAGTACTATAGAAAAACAGTTAGCATTTAAATAAATGGCATCAGATATACCAGTGGTTCTCAACCTATGGGTCCCTAAGTGTTTTGGCTATAACTCCCAGAAATCCCAGCCAGTTTACCAGCTGTTAGAATTTCTGGGAGTTGAAGGAGAGAACACCTGGGGACCCAGAGGTTGAGAACCACTGAGATAGACAGTAGGTTATACAGGCAGTCCCCAAGTTACAAACATCTAATTTACACATGACTCGTTGTTAAGAACAGGGGTAAGACGATAGGAAGTGTGAGGAAATCTATCCCTAGGAAGAGAAATTCTGATCATAGGATACGAGTGTCTCCAGTGAAGCTTTATCCACTATCCTTGTTTCCACAACTCAAAATTTTCAAAATCCAACATGTTGCTGAGACAAAAAGTGAGACGAAATTTTCTGAACAACCATTACAGGGGTGTTAACCCTTCCCTATATTACCCCAAAATTTAAAAACATTGGCTGGAGTTACACTTTAAAATGTGCCTGTTCCAACTTACATATAAATTCAATTTAAGAACCAACCTACAGAATCTTCTCTTTTGTGGACCATAGCAACCTACCCAATAAATGCCATCTGGTAGACAGGAAAACTGTAAGAGGAAAGAGCTGGGTCATGTGGAGAGAAGATTTGGATGTGCACAATAAGTACATCCAAGAATACCTAGAATCATCGAAGCATAGAGCTGGAAGAGACCTCGTGGGCCATCCAGTCCAACCCACTGCCAAGAAGCAGGAAAATCACATTCAAAGCACCCCTGACAGATGGCCATCCTCTGTTTAAAAGCCTCCAGAGAAGGAGTCTCCATCACACTCCGGGGCAGAGAGAGAGAGTTCCACTGCTGAACAGCTCTCACAGTTAGGAAGTTCTTCCTCATGTTCAGGTGGAGTCTCCTATCCTGTAGAAAGTTTATGGCACTTGGGTTTTAGTTCTTCCCATATTTCTTTAGTAAGAAATAACATTGAAGACACATGGAATTGTGGGGTTAATATGGTTCAAGTCTACCTCTTTTTTAATGTATGGTCTTCCCATCATATAATCACATTGCAAATTCATCTACAGATCCCTGGAACACACACATACAGTATATGCAACTGTGAATGGTCAGAATAATGTACGGGAGACATTTAACCTGCCACCCTCCTTTATAGCTTCAGGACCTCTTGTGGATACCAAAATTCATGGATACTAAAGTCCCATTATAGACAATTTCATAGTAGTATGGTGTCCCCTGGTGGCACAGCAGATTGAACTGCTGAGCTGCTGAACTGGCTGACCGAAAGTCAAATCCGGGCAGTAGGGTGATCTCCAACTGTTAGCCCCAGCTTCTGCCAACCTAGCAGTTCGAAATCATGCAAATGTGAGTAGATCAATAGGAACTGCTTCTGCAGGAAGGTAAAGGTGTTCTATGCAGTCATACTGGCCACATGACCTTGGAGGCATCTACAGACAACGCTGGCTCTTTGGCCTAGAAATGGAGATGAGCATCACCCCTCAGAGGTGGACACCTTTATCTTTACTTATGGTGTCCCTTATATAAAACAGCAGGATTAAGGTTTGATTTTTGGATTTTTCCCAGCATAAACCCCTAAAAAATATAGCATGTCACTGTTTTTCTTTCTCCTTATTACCAGAAATGGAAGTGTAGATTGGAGTAGTATGTATGTCAGACATGTTGGTCTTTGTTGTGGGTATAATTAGAGGTAGCAGCACTACCATTCTATTTCATTTATAAAGTACCTACTTGATGCTCTACAATAAAAAGTTTGGGCCAAGGCCACAGACTCATGATCCAAAATATGTTGATAAGGAAAGGAAGGGGGAATACTTCAGAAAGGTGCTGGATGAAAGAAAAAAGACAGGAAATACAGAAGAAGAATGCATTTTGTACTTATAACTTTAACAAACTTTTTCAGAACTAACAGAAGAAGAAAGAGAACAGGAAGGGCAGATGTAAGGAGACAGATATTTCCAAATATAAAAGGAGGCCAGAACACAGGGCAGATGCTGAAAGAATGCTCAGGAGTCAGGAAGAAACTAGACGATTAGATTGAGCAGTACAAAAAATAAGAAGGTATATAAGGAAAAGTCAAGGAAAAAGAAATATTAATTGGATTTTTTTCAAATTTTTAATGAAAAAAATGGATATAGGGTTTTACTTCCAAAATGTAATAGAGGCAATATATGAAAAATAGGAGGCAGAAATTATAATAAATGGACAAGAAATGGAAATCCTGGAAATAAAAAAAAGGAATGAGACAAGGATGCCCCCTATCCCCTTTAATATTCATCCTCACTTTGGAAATATTATTAAACAAGACAAGGGAAGAACAAGAATTGAAAGGTGCCAGGATACAAGGACATGATTACAAATTCAGAGCATTCGCTGATGACATAATCTGCATAATTGAAGAACTCAAAAAGAAATTAGGAGGATGGATAAACACAATTAAAAAATAGGTGTAGTTTCATGATTTAAAATAAATATGAAAAAAACAAAAGCAATAACAAAAATATAGAAAAAAAGAACAAGATAAAAGAAAAGTGGAATATTCAAATTGTATCCAAACTAAAATATCTAGGGATCATCCTAACATCTAAAAATCTACAATTATTACAAAATAATTACATAGAAAAATAGAAGGAGATAAAAAAGAATTAGAGGGATGGTAAAAAAAAACATAAATTTGTCACTTTTAGGTAGAATTGCAACTGTGAAAATGAAGATACTAACAAAAATAATTTTCTTATTTCAAAATTTGCCCATCATAAGAAATCAAAAACTATTGTAGAATTAGAATAGGGACATCACAAAATTTAATAGGGAAAAGAAAAAAAATCATTGCAAAACGCATTGCAAAAATATGATCAAATGAAAAGAAAAGGGAGAACTTGCATCACCATATTTAAGACTATACTTAGCAAGTGCCCTACTATGGATTAGAGACTGGGCAAAATTGGAAAAAATAAAGCTGCTAAATTTAGAAGGAGTAGAATTGAGAGTGGGATGGCACTCATACCTTTGGTATGAGGGCACAAAAAAGGAAAAAAACTTTGGCAATCATTTTTAAGACCAGCTATTCTTAGAATATGGGAAAAATACAAAAAGAAATTATATGGGAACACACCCCTATGGATATCTCCATTAGAAGTGGGGCAAAGAAGGGTCCTGGGCTAGAATGGATGGCCCAAATTTAAAGAAATATTAAAAAAGAAAGGAGGGGAATTAAAAATAAAATCACAACAAGAATTGAATACAATTGAACAAAAAATGTGGTATCAATATTGGCAAATAAAAGAAAGATATAAAAAAAGATAAAGAATCAAGATTTGCAGACAATTTTTGGGGGGCACAAAATAATGGAATCAGAGAAAAATTGATAACAAAAATCTATAAAATAATTACTAGAATGGGCAGTAGACTCGAAAGAAGAAAAGAACTATATGAAAAGGTGGAAAGAAAACATAGAAAGGACTATCAGACAAGAGAAATGGGAGGAAATATGGAAGAAAAAAGCAAAATAAACCTATGCAATCGACCTAAAAAAGAACTGGGTAAAGATGGCATATAGGTGGTAAATGACCCCGAAGAAGCTTGGAAAATGTTACAGCCTGCTGGAAATGTAAAGAAAAAAAAGGATCATATTTCCATATGTGGTGGACATGTGACAGAGCAAAAAGATTTTGGAAAAGAATACAGAAAGAGATACAGAAAAAAATTAGAGCTACAGATCCCCTGGAAACCAGAAATATTTTTATTAGGAATACATGAGATGGAAGTGGGAAAAAAACAAAGACAAATTGCTATGCAGAAATGTGGAAACAAAACAAAATACCTGAAGAAGACAAGTGGATGACGAAGATAGTAGAGATTAGAAACATGGATAGACTTACTTTTCTCATGTTAAAGAATAAAGGAATAAAAATGAAGGAAACATATCGGAAAAAAGTTACTGAATAATTCAAACAAAGAAATAAGATTTTGATCTAGCAGAGAAGACATTGGTAATATAAAAAGGAAAAGTTGAAGAAAGAAGGGAGAGAGGCTAGAAAGAAAGAAAAACAGGAAAGAAAAGGGAAAGACCTCAGGAAGATACCTGGAAGTCAAAAATCTTTATCCTTATCTTTATCTCACTATGGTATCCTTATGACTGTCTTAACTACTTACTTACTTACTTATCTATCTATCTACTTATCTTTTTTCTTTCTTTATTTATATATTAGCTTTCTTTTCTCTTTTCTTTTCCCTTCTTCTATCTAAACTGGTATGCTGGATATGATTACTCTATCATTATTTTTATTATTGCTTTATAAATCTCAATAACAATTATTATAAAAAAAGAAAAAAAAGGAATGAGAGAGGTGCAAGACTTTAAAAGCGCAAAAGAAAGAAAAGAGTCACAGAAAGAAGATATCAGAAAGCAGCAAAGAATAATATTAGCACAATGAAGAAAAGAACTAACAAACATTTTAACAGAAGTGTTTCTGTTCACATTTCTATCCCAGCTATCCTCATAAGAACTCAATGTGGGTTGCAATGAGTTCTAAAACTATGTACATAGTTGAATTCACAATGTATAAGTATTCGAATATAGAAATGTCCACTAGTGTAATAATACAGTAAAAGCAATAGAAACTGGGCTGTTATCTTTAATTGTGTATTTCATTATGTTTCCTTCCCTTTTATATGAAGCAACTTTAGATCTACACCAGTGGTTCCCAAACTGTGGTCCATGGACCACCAGTGGTCCACAAGAACAAAAATATGGTCCACAGACTCACTATTACCACACCGTTGCCTCGAAACCACACAGCAATGAGAGTAACTGATCTCACAAAACCCTCTTATAGTTCCGAGGCAATGGGGATGTCAGGAGGGGAGAGACTGACTACACACAAAAGATTACTACTACCACATCAGCTCTAGATTATTAAATATGGTTTTCTGTGGGCGAGCAGATGGGGACTACTGGATGGCATATGTTCTGTATCAGAAACTAGAGCTGATGTGAGCTATCCAATGCAATTTTCTGAATCAGCACCCCAAATAATCAAACTGGATCTAAAGTTGACCAAAAATGCATTCATAACCCCTTTGGTACTAATGTTGGAGAGTGGTCCCTGGTCAAGTGTCCCTGGTCAAAGTAGTCCCTGGCCTACACTGTAGAATTAATGCAGTCTGACCCCACTTTAACTGCAATGGTTTCAGTACTATGAAATAATTAGAGCTGTGGTTTTACAAGGTCTTTAGCTTTCTGTGCCAAAGTGTGCTGGTGCCCTATCAAACTCTAAATCCCATAATTCCATATTATTGTGCCACAGCATGTGTTTCACAATAGAAGCTTGGATTGTCTCTGCTATGTGAAGTTCATATCAGAGGTGCAATTATGTGTTTAATGAATATTGCATAGATCTTCCGGTTTTCTGCTGTCTCTGGCTTCAGTCAATAGGTGCTTAGTTCATCATCATTCCAACGGCAAATTGGAAACAGATGTGCACTTGATTTTTTTTATCATAAGGAATTTGTTTACAGAAAACAACCTTATGAATGTTTCATGAAGAATTCTTTTCTTCCCTTTCTTTGTAGATCATGCCAAGTCAATCTCTTCTCTGTTTCTGTACTGGATTACAGATATACTTCCTGGAAAGCACATGAAGGAAGCAGAATGTGCGCATCCATCTGTACAGAGTTAGAACTTCATATGCACCATTCTGAATTGAATCCAAGAATATTCAGAAATGGCAGTGCCATTGAACAGA